AAAAAAAATATTTATAAAAATTTCAAAGTTATGAGAGTTTAAAGTTTGCACTTTGACTCTATTTATTTCTGTTGGAAAAATTATTTTTGATGTTTTTTTGCTATACGCTATTAAAAGAGGAAACAAGGAAGCTGTATTGTAACTCTGTTCAATGTTAGGTATTTGTGGTTTTTATTGGCAAAATTTTTGTACTTTTACTAAATAATTATAAAAAATATATACAAGATAATCAGTATCATTAAATAGACATAAAGAAATGTCAAATGTCAAAAAATAAATGTCAAAATTTTTTAACAGATAGAATTTTTAAACATTTTTTTCATGTTCTTTTTATCGTACCTTACTTGAAAATTTTCTCTGGGACGCGAGTTCTGGCGCCCCTGTATAGTTTTAAATCTTGTAGTCATAGCCAAATCGTTTTTCTATTACCAAAATACGGCCAAAAACATCGCTATCAAGAAAAAAAGAAAAATGGTTCCACCAAGTCTACACACTTTTTTGTTTATCACAAAATTGCATCACACTTATTAAAAAATAAGACAAATCAAACATTGCCAATACTTAAACAATAAATGTACTTTAGTACTATTACCCACTCGCCTCTTATCTTATCRCTATTAGTCAAACCATTAAACATTAAWTTTTTTTGATCAACTAAATCAATAAAAACTCTGCACCCACCTGTGATTTTGRAACCATATTTTCACTTGGGTCGGCGTTAATCTTATAATGGAAGCCAAATGTTCTCTTTCAGGTGCCGATAGGTACCTTTGCTGTCGAAATCGTCTTTCCAGCTCATACGTTTGAGCTTTGGAGAAAAGCACTCGTCGTTTGCGTTTCTTGTGCCCTCCGGATTGTTGGTCGGTTAGGTGAGGATCTTTAGAGTCTTCAGAATTGTCTTCGTCGGGATCGCGTTCGCTGACGGCCGTATTGGAGGCGCTGCCATGGCTCGATGGTAAGTTCTCGACGGGGCCGATGGGGTCGACGCTGGATCTCTCGGATATCGCGGGACTAGTGCTGTCAGGGCTGAGTTGGGCGGGATGGGGTGGAATGTGTTGGTGCGCGTGAAAACCTGCAAAAAAATTAAAACATTCACACCAATTGCTTTCACATTAAGTTAATTTAAAAAAAAATGTTAGAATAAGCAACGAAATACGTTTTTTACATAGAAAAATAATAAATATCTGAAAATAACTATAAAGGGTGCGCCAGAACTCGCTCCCCAGAGAAAATGCTATATAAGGTAAAATACCAGGAACATGAAAAATATGTTAAAAAAATACCATCTATAAAAATTTAGAAGTTATGAGAGTTTAAATTTTGCATTTTGACTCTATTTATTTCTGCTGGAAAAATAATTTTCCAAGTTTTTTTCTTACAGGTTATTAGAAAAGGAAACAAGAAAGCTCTATCCTAAATTGAAACTCTGTTTAATGTTATTTGTGGCTTTTATTGGCAAAATTTTTGTACTTTTACTAAATAATTATAAAAAAAAAAAACATATACAATATCATCAGTGTCATTGGACATGAAAAAATGTCAAATGTCAAAAAATAAATGTCAACATTTTTTGACGGATAGAATTTTTAAACATTTTTTTCATGTTCCTGGTATCTTATCTTACTTGAAATTTTTCTCTGGGGCACGAGTTTTGGAGCACCTGTAGATAGAGTTTCATAATTGTGAGCAAAATTTAGTTGTAGGTTTTTTAATGGAACATCATGTTACTCAATTAGCATTATTGCTTTATACAGAGTATTTTTTTTTTAATTGAATACTCTATGTGATAACTTATTTCAATCGCCTCATGCTTACATTCAATGAGTTTTATTTTAATCGATCTTTTGAAATTTCTACTCAAATTACTAAAAAGTTTAGATAAAGTGTTAGGTAATTGATAGATACTATAATCATCTACTTGATTTGGAATATGTAATACATCACAAATATAACAGTAAATCGTTTGTTTTTATATTTTTTATAAGAGCGTTTTTTCTTAGTTTTGTCAGTTTTTTAATTTCCTCAAGTTTTAAAGTGAGACAGTAAAAATCGTTTCTACGAGTAAAAAATCAACATTTTACGAATTTTATCAAATTCTTTTTCTATTTAGATTAATAATATTCAGTATTTAAGTACAATAATAACTTAAATCATTTCAAATATCACACAAATCAGAGTTTCAAATTTATAAAAACTTTCTTATTTTTATTGTTCCTGAAAACTTTTACGTTTTTCTCTAAAAGTTAATAAAGACCATGATATGTGATTGGTTGTCAGCTGCGAATTAATTTACGGTAATTAGAAATGGTCGCACAACCACCTGTTATGGAGAAAATGTAAAAAAGGGCAGACTTGCTTTTAAAATTTAACCAAAAAATTTTTGTTATGCTGTTGTCGACTTTACCGCTTGAGATAATCTTCGTATTTCATATTTAAAAAGTATTTTTTTTTTAAAAATGTCAATTTGAAATAATTGAGTAGGTATAGCCATGAAAGTTTGAAAGTTGACAGTTCCATTCGTCTGTCAAAAATTCGTAAGTTATTATTATTATTACGCACGGTTGTAACGTAGCGTGACGCTCAAAAGCAAGAAAAGTGTCAAAAATTTTCGGGCACATTGTAAGCTACAAACGGATTTTGATAAGTTTGTCTAACTGTCAAATTAATAATCTGACCATTAATTGTATTGTTTCTAAAAAATAAATATTTTTGTAATAAATGTTTTCTTTTAATGTCGTAGGAAAAATAGCATACAAAATTCGCTGGAAAGTGTCTAACGTACTCATGGAGTTTTTTCACTTATGCGTTATTTCTCACTTTCCGTGTTCGTTATGTAATATACTATTTTCACGTATAACTCATAATTTTTAAGATATGATTTTTAATTTCCTAGATGTTTTAACGTCTAATAATAATAGTTTATTTTATTACTACTAGTAGAAAGCTTTCTGTCCCGAGTGATATAATATACTTATACTATTTTTTTCTTCAAGTGTACAAAATGTATTGTTTGCACACGAACTRGCAATTGTCAAACAATATTTACAAAAAGTCGCTAGTATTATTGTACTAGTATAATGTTGGATTTGCATTTTCATACCGTAATTTAACACTTTCCTTCTACGCTATCAGTGCTGTAAAATAACAACAATATTGATAATAAAAATAAAAAAATATTATAAACATGCATTTTTAAAAAGGATATACCTACAGTATTTTGGTTTGCAGTTTTGAGAGAAATTTAATTGTTCAAAAATCATTAAGTGATTGTATGCGGTTCTTTTGAATTATACTGCATTAAATATTCTAGGCACTGCTTGAAAAAAAAATTAAAACCTATACCTACGAGTATGAAAAAATATTAATTGTTTAATTTATTTTATATTTAATTAATTTTCAAATTATACTGATTTAATATTTTCATATCTTTATCTTAATAGAAGCACATAAACAGGTGCAATTAGGTGTAATTTGAAAATTAAAATTGACAAATACCTACTTAAGTGTTTAGTAAATAGATTGTTATACAATTTATGTAGATATGATGTAATAAGTATTACAAAAATAACAAGTCAAAAATAAGGACAGGAGTTGTAGAATGCAAAAATTCTTTTTTACTCGCTAAAACATTAACAAAAAAAATGAGCTTTGTCCTTCCGCCATGAATCGGTTTTCAGAGGGCGTAGAGATCCTTTGTTCGAGAACAATCTGTGAAGGTAAATTCGCCATAACTGGGGGACTGTGAGGGCAATTTAGATCAGTTTATGTAGAGGTGTTTAACATTAATACATCACGGGGTCCCCCCTTCTTCTGGCAATTACACAACATTCAAAGAAGCGTTAGTGTAACTAAACGGATCCAAGAGGGGCCGGTCTGAAAACGTTCCCCACGTATCGTTGGGTCATGTTAAACCAAGTCACGCCTCCTAGCGAGAAGAGCAGCTGCTAATTTTTGCAGCTGCTATTCTTCTTTTTGTGCACCCTTGCTTTAATTGAGTGAAGATTCATCGATCAGGGTTGTTACTGAAGATTTGACACAAATGTTAATTCTATTGATATATAATCATGTTTTTTTTTAAATGATTTTCTTCACCTTAGCTAACAATAATGGATTTTTCTTTCCTACTATACGGGGTGGTRAAGTCTATTATTAACCTTTTAATGTTAAAATTAAAAATATATATATATATAGGAAATTGATAGATACTAATCTATTAGTACTAATCTAGTGTATCGCTTAAAGTTATTTTCAACTATACAGCGTTCCCAAAAATAAATTACAATACAAACTTGTGTTTCTTTAAATGAAACACCATATATTTCTTAGCATTTTTGGATGTAGATTTTTATGACAATGTTTTTAAGCTCAACTTTTATTGATCGATTTTGCTGAGTTTTTAAAATAAGATGTTTTTTTTGACAAAAACGTGCACTTTTTAAAAATTTAAAAATTTATTGCACAAAAACTAAGAGATCTAGAAATATTTTTTTACTACCGCAAAGAAGAAGGTATTTATTTCATTATTACTCTTGACGCTCCGCGTTTCGAGTATAATTCAGCTTAACTATGAACATTGTTTTCTCTTTCTTGGTATTTCTATATACCTAATTATTATTATATTTCAACCAAATAAAAGTTATTAGAATAATAAAAAAATGTCTACGAGTAGGTACATTGCTAAATAAATAATAATAAATAAATAAATTGTAAAAAATAATCTAATAAATAAATAAATATTTCCGAATAAGATAACAAGCAGTTTCCTAATTTTCACTATATGACATACCTAATCATGTCAAATAAAATATTAAAATATCTATATTAGATTTCAGATTAAAGTGACTTTAAAAATAACTTGGCAACATTGAAAAACAGAGACAGAAAGTATGAAAATTGACAAGTCTTTTCACTCTACATTATTCAATGTTACCAACTTAATTTCAAAGTCAAAAGACATCGAAAGACTAATTAGAATAGTATATTAAAGTACAAGTTTCAACAAATGAGTGCTTGAAGAACCTTCTGCAACAAGTGCTTTATACTAGTTTTTCTATTTTATATAAATTTTATATTTTTTCCAGAGAATTTTGCAATGGTTGGCGACATTTATGTGGAATAATCTTAGACGGCTGTGAAAAATAAAAATAATTCATTTTTTCACATTTGAAAGTCCGTCACTAAAATTAAATTAACGCCAACGACTTATTAAAGCACTYAAATGACRTCATTTAGGTGCTGGAATAGACTTACTCCGACAATGAAATAGAAAAATTTAATTAAACTTATGATATCTATACAGGGTGTTTTACGTAATTTTACSAGGCCTGCGCCTGCAAGATGCAATCAATAATATATTTTCCGATTCGAACACSATTACAAATTTTGAAAAATTGGATAATCGTCTCTAGTTTGTTCACCCTTTCAAAAATTACAACGTTTTTAGTTAATTAGTGATTAAGATAGATAAACTAGAATCATATTCATTTGTTCTTGATAGAACAAATGATAATTGTTTCTGAAAAACTGCAATTTATGACTATTAATGAAACAGTGATTAATAGTTTGACAAATACTGTCATGGGTTTTCAAAAATTAAATAGTTAGAATAGTATTTTTTTGTATCCAGTGTTTTGTGACTTTTATATTCGGGTGCATACATTAGGCGCAAGCCTCGTAAAGTTGTGTGAAACACCCTGTATAAGTGAGTCATAAGTTATGGAAAATACTGGATCCAGTATAGAAAATAAAAATATAAAGCATTTTTATACAAAATTTAATTTAAGTTTAGATGTACAATAAATAAAAAATTATTATTAAATCAATAATTATTGATTATTATAATTATCAATTCTTTGTTTTACAACATGTTCCAAAATATGAAAAATTGAAACAATTTCTTTACAAAAACAAAATAAAAAATACTGTGAGGTAAAGGGCGCTTGCGTCCAATTACTCAACTATGCAGTAAATTATTTTTTATTTTGTCAAAAGTTAAAAATTGTATCTAGCAACTTAATAGAAGCCGAAACACATAGAATAAAAAACAAAATTTGTAAAGACATGTTATGTAACTTAAGTACAAACTAAATAGCAACATAAATAATTTTCCTTAAATGGATTTTGGAAAAGCTACATAAAGGTACACACAATTACCCACTGCGCATAATAACCCCACTCTCTCCTGTTACTATGCGTAAATTGATGTTTTGTTTGAAATTTTTCAAAATATAAACATAGATACCTGCGAGAGCTTTGACAGTTTTTATAAATTAGAATCCTACGGTGTACCTTTGACGGTACATATTCAGCCACAGYATTTTGTGGCATTCTCCATTTGTCAAGATTATGTCAGTTTTTTCGTCGTTTGAGTACATTTTGAATTCAAGGAAAAAAAGTGAAATTGATGAYACTGTCAAATTTAATCAATRACGTATCAACAACTACTTTGATTTAMATTTAATAATCTCAATTTTTCAAACATAAAAAAGCCAAGTTGTCTGTGGTGTGGGATTGTATTTTAGGTTATGTCTTAAAATAGATTAGAGTCTTTATTATAAATGAYTCAGCCTGTCAGTATGACTACTACGGATGTTAAAAGTTTTGGTGTCATACAGCAAAACTCAATGAGATTATTAAAAAACATTTCATTCCAAAAAAGTAAAGAACAAAATTTATTATGCTGTAAAAAACAATGATGAACAATTTGTCTTCATTATTTATATCTGTATGTTCGTTATTTGTAAATATGTATTTATTTTTTTACTTTTAGCTAAATTGAAGCTTAAAACATTGTCTATCAAAATATGAAACTTAAAAATAAATAAATTTAGGTATAAAAGCTACACCGTTYTGCGGTATACCTAAATGCTCTTAGCAAAATTAACAAAATTACTGAAGTTACATTTAAATAAATGAAAATACAATCAACCTCAAAATACAATAAAATAGAAAACATAAGGTACCATTATGAAAAAACAAAATTATGTGATCCYTTGGGAATTAAATCTCTTAAATATGTAGTGAGATCAAAAAGGCATAACGTCCGTTTTATATTTATGCGTGTAGATCAATTAATAATTCGAAAGACATACCAGACAGCTATCTCTTTTCAACATTTGTAAATAGCCTTGTTGCTTTTTCGCTACGTATCTGCGTAAGGTCGGTCACGCTATTTATCTCACTTTAACAAATGTGATTAAAGTAACCCAGAGTTAGTGATTGTATGTATGTACAACATTAAAAGTGTTTCCTACCGTCACGAAGGTCATTTGTAATTTCATTTTTATGGGAAAAACTGTTTTACCCTCTACATCGTCATAATAATTGTAATTCCAGCCCTATAAAAATCCTAATGCCAGGGAGAAGCTTTAATTTTTGACTTTAGTACCAAAATGTCAAAAGCTGTTAAATGTCATAAACAGGCGGAAGTCATGTCGTTTTTTTGGTTCACACTATCTCCACCAGGAAAAAAAAACTGTACAAATTACTAAATTATATGAAAATATATTTGTCAAGGTCAATCTGCTTTTTAATTATTAAAAATAAAGATACTAGGGAAGTTAAAATCAATGCACATTTTTTTAATTTTATACAAGTAAGGAAGGCCACAAATTTTTATTTCAATATAAAACCTTTTTGCCTGAATTAAATAAAGTGGTTTTTTTTTATAAAAATTAAAATGGTTTAGCTATGTCTTACAAAAGTTTAAATTTTGAACATTGTGTTAGAAACCAAGGCTTATTAGATTCTGAAACTCTGAAATTTTTCTTTACGCGTTACATTCTTCAACTACTACAGGGTGTTTCATACAACTTTACGAAGCTTGCGCTTAATGTACCTCACCTAAATATACAAAAGTTTGAAAACAGTGGATACATTTAATTATTTAATTTTTGGAAACCCGTAACACTAGTTGTTATCAAACTAATCACTGTTTCATTAATAGTCATAAACTGCTATTTTTCAGAAACAATTATCATTTGTTCTATCATGAGACGGCATGAATATAATTCTAGTTTATCTATCTTAATCACTAACTAACTAAAAACGGTGTAATTTTTAAAAGGGTGTACAAACTAGAGAAGATTATCCAATTTTTCAAAATTTGTTATCGAGTTCGTATCGTAAAATTATGTGAAACACCCTGTATATTAAAATTAGAGATAGAAACCCCTGGGGCCAAGTTACCCCTGTCCGGCTTTGGTATCTTGTCTAAAACAATAACTAATTACTAATTAGAGTCGTCGCTGCGTTYCTCTCCCAATTGTTTTTGACCGGTTACAAACCCTTATACASGGTGTTCGGTCCAAGTCGCCCCGGMCGATAACACSTAAACTTACTTTTTTTTTTCAAAAACTAAATTTTCAAATAATACTTCCCCGTTTTCTTAATAAATGCATCAAATTTTTTTGGCACATCGGGTGTAGCCGAATATGCTACCAAATTTAGATTTTCAAATGGAACACCTATGTTTTTTTGCTCGAAACAATAATAATTGGCATGAATAATACGATAAACCACTATTTATTACATTTTACTTTACATAATGCACTTAGAAAACAATTAAAATTTTTGMATTKTTTTGCAAATTTTGCAACRTAGRCGGATTTTACTTATCAAGGTATTCATGCAAAAAGCAATATGCTTGGATACCGTTTAATTGTTTTTGTCAATAAAACTTATTGAGATCTTTAATAATGTATGATATTAATTACGACGAATTGGTAGATCAGCTTGAAGTGTTTTTTTAAGTGTAATAAAAATAAAACAGAAGCTGAAAGACAGTTATAGAGAAAAATACTCAAATAGAGTTCACCCAAATCGTTGGAATTTAGTCGAATTGAAAAACAACTAAGGCGAATAGGTTCACTTCTTAAAACTAAAAAACCTCTGGTTGAAGAACAAGAAAATAGGAATCTGAATGTTCTGTTATCAGTCGAAGAAAATCCAAGAGTTTCCATAAGAGAACTCGCTCATCAACAGACAAATTAGATTTAGTTTTTTGATTGCATTGTGTTACGCAAAATGTAATAATTAGTGGTTTACAGTATTTTTCATGYCAATTATTAATGTTTGGAGGAAAAAAACATAGGTGTTCCATTTGAAAAACTAATTTTRATAGCATTTCCGACAACACCGGATGTGCTAAAAAAATGTAATACATTTATCAAGAAAGCCAAGAATGAATATTATTACTTAAATATTGTATATCGTCGCAAAAATAAAACAACCTTCAGTCTTATGCTTATCACATTTTTATACAGACATTTGAAGGGCTCAGAAGCCAATCAGTCTAAATCATAGTTTTTCTCAAAATGATTTATGCAGTTCAGATGACACTGTATTTATTAAATCTTTCATTTGGCAATGCACGTAAGACAATACTTTAAAGTATTTTCAWTTCTCTTTCAATAAAGTTTTTGTTTTCACCTTTGCAAGCTTTTACTATAATTTTTTTTTTAAATGTCTAACTATCTCATTTTTAACATGATTTTGACTCAACTGATTGGTTTCTGTTTTAGGCTTGGATCTTAGAAGAAAAGTGGCAGTGAACAGAATTTGTAACAGAAAGAGAAGAACAGAATAGACTTGACATTTCAGTGTTACTCAGTGCTACCAATATAAAAACTTTCATTTAAAAACCCTGTTTTTATTTTCCTGCCTAGACGATTTGGACGATTGGAAAATCACTAATTTTAGACGAAGGCCGAAAAAAGAGTTTTATCCCTACCTTCCGACGGCGTCGGCCAGTGCCTCGAGATCGGCACATATCCCGAAATGTCATGTGCAGGATGCGTATACAAGGGTGCCTCCGTCGGGGGATGTTCGATTCCCACATTACTGTTTCGGTCCAATTCCAAAATATCACTGATTGCAAAGCCGGCCGATTGTCTGGGATTTCCCATCGGTCCAGTCATCTTCATACTATCCAATAATCTGCAACRAAATACCCATAATAAAATTTACTGCTGTCATCGCAAGGTAAAAATTCTCCATCATTATTCACAGTCGGTATACCTTTCCCTAGTTTCCGACACCTGTTAAATTGCTCAAACGTGACTTTGAATGAATACTCGGGATTTACTTCCAATTGTCACCTGTGCCAAAAAGGCAATAAAGTGGAATACTTTAGACCCTTACCACCCTCACAAAGTCACGCTTAGTTAAACAACAAAATCTAAACTGCCAAATATCCACGAACATTCAAATTGCCCGTTTCCGGTTTGAACGTTTTTCGAGTGGTTACATTGTCAAGAGGGGTTTTTTTATTCAATAGATAAAGTTGAGCCTTTGTGTGGACCGATGGAATGTTGCAGTTTAGAGCATCGAAAGTGTGAAAATGTGAAATAAATAAATAATTTTTTTTCTAGGTACCCACAGCCTGTGGTAATCACATTTTTTTTGATTTTGTTCTTGTTAAAATATGTATAATACTTGGATTTTTTAGATATACCGGTAATACCAAGGAATGCGTTATCTGACCGACAACCGAGACAAWTGATTTTCATTTAAACACAAAAGAAAAATACATAGTTGTCAACAGAACCTTGGACTAATTATTTACACTTAGTAAACTAGGGGAGGGGCCCAGCCCCCCCCCCCCCAACTTGCCACTGAAAGCTTTAATTTTTTATATTTATTTTAATATAAAAACCTTATGACCTAAAGTTTTTTAAATAAAAACWTTAGAATTCTTTTTAAATCACATTTATTAATACAAATCATACATAGGTATACCGACTACCTAGAAAGCAAGATAATTTGTAATCTAGTCATTTTTRGATCTGAAAACGTACGTGTATACATACCTATGTCTGTTCTTGGACTAACTGCACGTGAAACGTCAAAATAAAATGACAAGTCGAAAGGTAAAACGGCAAAATGRCCTGGAATTAGACCGTTCTTTTTTGAAAGTAAATCATAAATTTAGTTACTAAAATTATCATCTTTTTGATCATGGCATTTTACCTTTCTACTTGTCATTTTTTTGACGTTTCACATACGTTTTCGGATGCAAGGACGAGCCAATTACAAATTATCTGGATCTCTCGACACTTACTTAGTTTTACTAATTTAAAAAGAAATCATCAATTGTAATTTTCTTTGGGTCACATCTTATGTATCTAATTAAATTAAATTCACATCTGTTTGAATAATAAACTTTACCAACTCGCAAGAATACCTTATCCAGTGAGTGGCAAAATTATGGAACAATTTTATTAAAACTGAAAATATTTTATTTAGGCAAAAATGCAGGAACAGTTCAATTTTCTTTTTAAAAAATACATAATTTTTAACTTGATTAAAAATTTTACATTCTTTGATTTTTGAGTAATGACGGTAGCGACATTTTTTTTTTAAAGGAAACCCCTAATTTTTTTAACAAGTTTGATAGATGTTTTAATTGTCGAAATGACAACACTAAAATATTATGTACCTATTACATAAGTTTAAAAAAAAAATCATCCAAAAAGAGAAATAAAGTCAATAAAAAACAAAGATACAATTTTAAATCAAGTTGAAAATTTTGTATTGTTCAAAAAGAAAATCGACCTGTTCGAGCCAAAACATATTTTCAGCTTTAATAAATAAGATTATTCTATAATTTTGCCGCTCACTTTCGCCCTCATCATTCTAAAAAATTTTAGAAAGCCCCCCCCCCTAAAATTAATTTCTGGATCCGCCACTGGCTACACCTTTTTCAARTGTAATTCAGAAAGCGTTTCAAAAAGTGTTAATTGTAATTCAGAGTTTGTCATTTATAATTGAGAATTCGTCAATTGTAATTCGGAATTGATTATTTTCATTCAAAAATTACATTATTAAAATCCCTTTGGAAATAAAATATCTTATTTATTTTGTAGAATACCAAGTTTACCTATAATTCGTGTTTATGTGTAAACTTCATTTTGAGATAACAGTATGTTACTCATCTAAATTACAATTGATATTTTCTGCATTACATGTAACATGAAATTGAATTTATTTACTGTTCTGCATTACATGCAACGGTTTCTCAATTACAATTAATACCTTCTGAAAAACTAATCTAAATTTCAATTTACGCTTTCTGAAACTAAATTGATTAATCTGAATTACATGTGATGGTTTCTAAATTACCTACACTTGAAAAAGGTTTAGTAATTTTTTTGAAGTTATTAGAAATATTGATTTTGAGATTTAGCATTAGTGTAAAAAATTATCCTTTTTAATAAAGCGAATTAAGACATTCGTATTTGCACTAATCAAAATACATTAAAAATATTTAAACATTTAACATAATTTAGACAACAAAACAGTTAAAACAAAAGGTCTTATAAATACTATAGTTCGTTCATTTATAAGTGGTTAAGACATTATAAAATGGGTTTAATGAAAATTTGAATTTTATCCACCAAATAGCCAAAGGGCCAAAATTGCCGTTCACGCCCGAAATGCAAATAAAATTTGTTGTAAAATCCACCTTTAAGTTTTGAAAATAAATGGCACGACGTTCTCAAAAATCGAGTTGTTGGTTGCTAATGTGATGCAAATAAATAAAAACAAAATACTGAAAAAATTATTGACGTGTTTTTTCAAGAATTTGTGATAAAAATATGTCCGAAAACGAAAAACAAGAAGAAATAGCTATTTTAGCCGAAGAAGCGAAAACTGTAACACTTAAGTTATTGCCACGAAAATCAAGAGAAATCTATGAAAAAACTTTCAATGAATTTTATTGAATGAAATTCAATGAAATTAATGAAAACGTTTYACTTGTTTATTTCAAAGAAGAGTCGCAGAAATTTTGCCCATCTACCTTATGGTCCCATTATTCTACGATTCGTTCGATTATGGTTTTGAAGCATGGTATCGATATAAAACAATATAAGCTTTTATATGCATTCCTGCATATATGCATTCATTTTGTTATTTTTTTTAGTTTTTAGGTTTTTATTATTGGGTATTAGCTAATTGTTTGTAACTACATATTTCAATAAAAGATATTACAATTGCTGGTTTTTTAAGACTTGACCTAATTTTAAGACGATTCTACAAAAATTCAATTTACGTATTTTGCGCTTGCAGTTGTAAAGAAAGCACACAAATCTTAAAATTCTGTTAAATAATTTGTCAATGTTTTGTTGCCTCTTTTTAAAAAAAATTAAAGATTTCTTTTAACAAGAAAGTAATTCTTGGCTTTTTAGAAAAAAAAATTAGGTACCTAGAAAGTTCAATTTTAACGATTTTGTAATTGGAGATAAAAGTCTTATTAATAACCGAAGGCTTTAAACTTTTTTAAAGCAACCTAAATTTGTTGTAGCATATCATATTTTATGTTTCAACTATTTTTTACTATTCTATAGCGATAGCTTTTCTGTAGCATGTAACGTTAAGAACAAACTGAAAAGTTATACAAGATTTAATTGGGAGATATTTAATTGAAAATTTAGTATCAAAAGTGACAAACCCTGGTAAAGCGGATCTGATTGCTGAAGAGCACCAGGCGCC